AGTTGCCTCAGGTGGTCTATCAGAGGTTGTCTGCTCAGTCGCGCTGCCATCCGCCATCCTCTGGGCTGCAGTTTGACCTGGAAACCGGGGCAATCTTAATTTTAGGACCTGCCTGTGAGTCACAGACATGTGAGCCTGGCACGGGTCGGGTCAGTGAAAGCCCTTAATGAAAGGATGGTGATTAAATCCACCTCCAAGGAGTCCCTGCAGGCAGGATACAGGCTCTGAGCCATTGCACAAACACTTGCTGCCTTTTGCCCCTAAAGCATCGCTCCTGGCCACGTGTCACTGTCTGTTCCTCTTCCACCTGAACCTGGGGGACTCATTTCACCTGCTTCACTCATCTGAAGGTTAGTATTCAGCTGAGAGGCTGTCCCTGTATTTTACAGGGGTATTGTTACTCCAAAGGGAGTCTGAGCCCACTGGTCCTGTGCACCTTGCATAACTGCAATTAATTTCTCCCAAGAAACATCCTCGGGTGTCTGCAGTAGGTGAAATGAAGTCCAGCCTTTGAGTCTAACTCTCCTACCAACACCGAGGTAGCAGCAGGTTACAAAGGCCTTGGAAATCTGATTTAACTCCCTTCAGCCAGTGGCTGAGAGGAGAAAAGCCCAGGGGAGGTTCTCTTTTATCCATGAGGATGTGAAATTTCATTTGTGGCTGACAATGCTCTTAATCCTGCCTTTTTATTGATGAAGAACCTCTGGGTACCTCAACTGTTTCTCAGTTTCCCTAGACAGCAATTGACCTTGTTTCAGCTATGCATCAAAATGCACTGGCAATCAAGGTGCTATTGATTTAAACCTAATGGCCAGCCACTCAGGAATTTCACCCGGAAAAGAAAAATCAATGCCACCTTATTCTTTTTTTTTTTTTTTTCCTGTTAAGATATTATAATGAAAAGGCATAAGAGTCTTGCCAGCTCCTTACCATTAAGCAATACACTTGCAGGGCTGAGAACGTCGGGTCAGGCTCTGGTAAGGTAGCCAGCCAGCTACAGATTGAAATGACTCTAGGGTTAAACAATTTTCCTTGATTGCATGCTGCCATCCGCATCTCTCTCTGCTGACCTTCCCAGAGGCATGCGAGCTGCACTGGTGTGTGGGACTCCGGAGAGAATGTCTTGAGCAATGCATTAGCCCTATTAGTGGAAGACCTCTGTGTGGGAAGGATGCTCCCCGTCTTGTCCTTGTCTCATTTTGGATGTTTTCTTCCTCCCCTCCCCCATCCCAAGGGGAAAGTGTCATTCAGAATCTGCAAGATTGGTTTACAAGACTGGTTTAAATGCACGGCAGGTAAGCACTGGCTGGATAGGTGCTTAGATCCATGGTAGGACCGAGCAACACCACAGGCTCCCTCCTATCTAGTAAGTGAGGCATGCCAGGATCCATATTGTCACCCATAGGCTGAATGGTCCCACATCGACTGTATCCATGCTGCTAAACTCTCTTACCTGCCAAAACAAGGTGGTTTTTCCCCTCTTGGCTTCTCAGGAGCATGCATGGCACTTATTTACTGCAGTGTAGATACTGGCTGGGAGAGGGCACAGGCTGAAGCCAGGCGATGGGGTGTGCTAACACTTTGCTGGCGTGGGTGATTAGGGAGGATGCTTGAGCCTGTAACGTAGTTGTTCTCAGTTCCTTGGGACGGTAGAGATACAAGCCATAGAGGACCGAAGCCGCCATGAGCAGTCCTGGTTTAGGTCTTTTGCAGAATCTTCTCTGTCAGCACTCCAAACGCTTTGGAGCCAAATCACCTTTTGAAATGGTGTTGACTCTTGGGCCTCCTTTTAATCAACCAAAGGGAATTGGCTCCTGCATCACATAAACTGATGAACATTGAGGAGCAAGGGATGGTGTGGGGCAGTCCTGACTCCTGACGACATCGACATCCCAGTGACGTTCTGAAGTGCTCCTGGGTCTCAGGTCACTTAGGCACATGAAAGCATTTTCCCCTGTGGCCTCTGCTTACTTTTCTCCTCTTGTTGCTGAGGTGTGTGAGAAGAACTGAAGGACGGTTTTCATCTCCCATGATTTTGGAGCATCCCCATGCAAGTCAACTTTAAAGAGATGGGAGTGACCCTTTCTCATAATCCATCCCTTTCAAGATGAACGCCTAAAACTGCATGAGGAACGTGAACCGGTCTGCATACCAGCTATCTCTGGTGTCACTGTGCCTGTAAAGCCTCATTTTCACCCATTCAAAGCAAGCATTTTCCATGAAGATGGTACAGCTGTCAGAGGAACCCCTAGAGCGAGACCTGTGTTTCCAGAGCCAAGCCTTATCTGGATGATAGGCGAGTGCAGAGACAACATGAAGGGAATCTGACAGTGCAGCTCAAAGGCATGTGATAAAGCTGCCTTAAAATCACATTTTCCCGAGTGCTGGTCAAGCCAGACAATACCTGTTTGTGGGAATGATGTGACCACATGGATGTGCAAGGCCTGACCCACGCTTTGCCGCAGCCATTGATGCAGTGACCAGCTATTGACCTCTTCATCCACTTTTTCTGGGAGGCGACCTGTTTGATTTTGTGCATCTTCTTCCAATTTCTACTACATCTGTGCATATTTCCGCTGACCGTTTCAGTTTGCTTGGACAAAACGTCAGGGCTAAGAAGGCTTGTGAGATGCTTCACAGTTTTGGGTGAAGTCTCTCTGCCTTCGGTGGGGTTGATGGTTGGTGTCGAGTGTCAAGGAGCCTTGCACATTTTTCAAGCCAGCTCAGGGAGAACTGAGCAAAGTCTCCTGACAAATTCCTCATCAATTGCTGAGTTTTTCTCAGCTTCTGCCTGTGGTGATGTACATTCATTTTGTTTCTTTGGGAGGGGTGGGATGAAGGAGGGGAAGGTTTGTAGGCAAGCTATTGGAGGCACAGTAGAACGATCTCCTAAGCAAGGGGTCCCACCCAAGCTAGGTAAAGCAGCGCGTGTTCCTTAACTGAGGTTGTGTCTAGGTCCCACCCAGCCTCTCTAACCTCCTAAACAGCAAAATTGGACAGCTTAGTGGCCCACAGGAGGTCTTGCAGGTTGCCAGTGCTCACTGGGGAGCAGTGGATGGAAGACTGTTGTTCTGCAAGCACCAGTCCTAAGGCAAATGTCAACATGTTGGCCTCCCCACCTACTCTCGCCTGCTGAATTTCGCTTGCTTCCTCCAAAAGCAGCTCCACCTCACACCAATACATCTGTGCTGACACAGGCTGATGTTACGGCATGGTCCTCTGTTTGTTTAGCACAGGCATAGTTGCATAAGGAAATGAGTTTTCCTCGGAAAGGCAGGGCACCTGCTCTCAGTCTTATCTGCTACAAAGGGATTGAGGGCTTTGGGACTAATCTTTTGGTGAAACTGAGTCCAAGCTTCCAAGCTAATCTGCAAATCGGTTTAATTTTGCCAGCAGATTCCCCAGGTTTGGGGCTGAAAGCCACGTAGTGTAAATTCCATGGGATCCCACCACGGTGTATTTTCACTTGAGTAGCTTTCCTGCCAGTTCACTTAGGACAAGCACTGAACTATTTGCCCACACAATAAGATGGGGTTTCTATGTGTTAAACCAAGTGCTGTGAATGCAAACATTGCAGCATACTTAGTTAAGCTCTCTTGTTATGTTAAACTTCTTTTGTAGTGTAAGAACAGAAGACCAGCTCTTAGCAATGGTTTAAATATTTCTTGCAAGCCAAAAGGGAGACTGCAGATGTTTGAAGTCTGGAGTTATTTAGAGGAAATAAAATTAGGCTTTTGCTAGCCATTGCTCTGTTAGAGGATCTGTGATATAAAAGGAAAATAGAGAGAAAGCATCAAGTAAAAATAATATGTATGTATGTGTGTTTGTATGTGTAACTTGTTTTCCTCCAGGCAGCACACTGGGGACAGGTAATCTTACCCTAAGAATTTGGCCTTAGAGGATCTAAAATGAAGCTCTTCGAAACCAGAAGCATTTCTGTGATTTCTATGGTCAGGCCAAGAAAAAAACCCTGGGCTCATTGTTGCTGTGGGGGATACATCCATATTTCAAAAAGCATTTTTCCTTTGGCTGCACCTAAGCAAAACTGGTGTCCTGGTGAGAAAGTGTCTGGGCTGGGAAGAAAAGTCCTTTTCAGCCTTCTGAACTTTCCCTTTGATTTCTCATGCCTTAGTGCAACCCACACAAAACAGAGCCAGGCTGGTGGGCTGGTGAGACGGAGGATGGCTGTTGTTCCTGTGCAAAAGGAGACAACCAGCTCCTGGGGCTCAAGCGACTGTGCCTCCACGTCTTCCAGGTGAATTTGGATGGGGATGGTCACACTGGCAAGCCCCATCATAGCCCTTCGATCTGTCGCCCCAGGGCTACCTCGGTGGCATTGGAAGAACTAGGGCACCCAGAGCAACACAGGAGATTTGAGACCCCGTCCAAAGGAGTTTTAATTCAGCTGGGTCAGAGCTGATCTTGCCTTTGGGTGGTGTTTTTTCAGTTGATTTAAAGAGTGCTGCCTGCTTCTTTTCTTTCAGCTGGGTTTGCGAAGGGTAATAAAGCGCTTGCCAAGGGTGAAGGGTGGCTGCAGAGACTGACAGTTGAACACAGCAGCTGCCTGCCCTTCGCAATTGCAGAGTTCTGAGAACTGAAGATGATTCTTTTATCTCTGGGGTCCCCCTACCACGTCTCTCTTATCAGAATGTTCGGAGGAAAGGCACATTGTCCCCAGAATGACAGTGGCGTACCTGTGGGAGGATGGAGGAGGCATCACAGCCCTTCTCTGATGGGGCACACCATTACCAAGACATCTCAGCAAGTCCTTTTTCACCACACATTGTCATCTGCTCCTATTCACCCCATGGATTTGGGGTGGGGGTTCTTTGCCTCTCCAAGTGGGGATATATTTGGAGAGCTAGCGCAGGGTGTGCACCTATGTGGGGCTGTATTTCCTCATGAGGTCATACCAAAGACAAGCTGATTTGGGTGCCTTGGTATGTTATTCATTGCCTTTGTCCTCACCTTGGTATCTGTTTCCTTTTTTAACCAGGAAAATGGGAGCCACTGCCCCAGTGTGACCTGCCTCTGAGGTACAACAAAATAAAGACCACCCGTCCCACTCCCTCAGACACCTCCCAGTATGGATGGCTTGGTTGAGCAGAACAGTGTGCTAATGCACAATAAGATCGCTGAAGCCGGGAAAAGGAATGGTTTAATTAATACAAGGAACTTAGTGGCAGAGAGCCGAGATGGTCTGGTCTCTGTGTACCCGACCCCCCAGTACCAGACCCACCGAGCGGGCAGCCTTTCCTCTCCAAGCTGCCTAGAGAAAGGCAGGAATGACCCCGTCCAGCAGCTCCTGGACCCCAACATGCTGCAGCAGACGGTGGAGTCTCACTACCGGCCCAACATCATCCTCTACTCGGAGAACGTGCTGCGCTCATGGGGCGAGAGCATTGGCTCGGAGTGCTGTGAAACTACCTTCATCGAGGACCGCTCTCCCACCAAAGATAGCCTGGAGTACCCGGACAGCAAGTTCATCGATCTCTCGGCGGATGACATCAAGATTCACACTCTGTCCTATGATGTGGAGGAAGAAGAGGATTTCCAGGAGCTAGAGGTGAGGTGTCATTTGGGATATGTGGGGAAGGCTGCGGGGAGGAGGGCGTATTGGGGGTTAAGTGTAGAGCCTCCAAGATCTGATCTGCAGGGGATCTCCTGCTTTGGAAGCTGGTCTGTATGGGATCAGCTGTATCTCTCCTCTGGCCAGGACAGTGAGCGATCGCTCACCTTTATTTCCTGGGTAAAGTCCCAACTCTGTGGATACTAATGGCAAAATTCCCACTGGCCCTAACGGAGATCAGCATTTCCTTCCTGCCTCTGAATGGGCTGGTCAGAAACTGAAGAAGACCCATGTGCTTAAATGCTTATATGAGCATCTGTCCACATACATGGACCTTGTCTTACTCAGCAGGCCAACATCATCTCTTTCTTTCTCCTGACTTGAGCTAGGCATAAAGCAGATTGTTTTGCATACTGGCTCAAGCATGAAACATTTCTGTGTCTGAATGAACACAAAATCAGAAGTCTTTGGGCTTCAAGCTGCAATGAATCGCATGTCTCTGAAATAAAAGATTTTTTTCTGATGGAGCGAAACACTTCATTAGATCCCAAATGCAATGTTTTCTTTCAGGTTCCTGTGCTTCATTGATTGCTCACAATAAAGTAAGATACATTTTGTTCTCCAAATGGGGCAGACCATGGAAATCAGCTTCATTCTTTCTTAAATGATGCATTTTTACTTTAAAAGATTGTTTTGGCTTTGGCTGAAACCAGCTGCCCAAGTGAGGCACAGATTTGTGTTTGCCAGTATCTGTGGGAATGGAGGGTGTGCATAATGCTGCTAATGCTGCTGATCCCAAAACTTTCTCCAGTGTTGGTCACAGACTCCTAACCTAGCAAAGACCATTTGGCTGTCTGGAGCAAAGCCATAGCTTCAACTCGAATGTCCAAGTTGAGCTTGAGAGACTATTTGCTCGTGTTTCTCTCTTGCAGGGGTTTTCTCCACCGAGACCTAACAAGTCCTAAAACTTCTATTTTCACCTCCTGTAATACCAGTGTCTCACCCTGTGATCAGCACAGGGGCAACCCAACAAGAGCCTGACTTCTCGTTGATTCTCTTTTCTCTCTGTATTGATAAGGTAGGAAGAGAGAGGCATTTTTCCCAGTGTGTGCCAGAAATGCAGTATTCAATGCCTCCGCAGGGAGACAAAAAGGTTCTCTCTGAGGCATGTGAGGGTGTTACCTCAAATCACACCCTTCTACAGCATTTCAAAATTGGCTGTGGGAAGTCTCGTTTTCTTAATCAAAACAAAATCCCTAGCTGCTGCCTTTTTGCCCTACTTTCTGTCATGCAGTAGTGATACAAGTGACTGCAGCAGGCATGTAATTGCCTAATGGTGTTATTGACACATCTGGCCTGACATTTAGGCAGCAAAATAAAAGTCTCCCTCTTCTCAATCCAAATCCAGCAAGACCTTCTTTAGCCAACTGTTGGAGAATAGGCTAAAAAAGGCTGGGAAAATAAGCAGGACAAAGAAAAGATGTTTTATACCAAAAATCTTTTCCCTTTTATTGGTGGGATTTTTCAGGCGCCTTTGCAATGTAGGGCCCTTGATCTGGGTGTCTCTTCAAAGTGGTACTGTAGGAGCTTGATCAGCTTTTCATAGAGAACGTTTGTTTCTAGAAACTCACCTGTAAAGCAAGGTCTGAGGAAAGTGACTTCACCCTTTCCCCTCCCCAGATCTCAAGGGGAGAAAGGAAAGAGTCTTTCCAAATTTTCGTACCATGCTGTGACAGCGTGTGCATCATTTTCCCTGGCTCCTCCTTCTTGCTGACCTATTTCCCTGGACTGTAGCCTCCTGAGGTCATACGCGTCCCTTCTTAGATGGGTGTACTGCATCTGGCACCACGGATTCCCAGCCTCACTTAACCCTGTGGGATGTTACTGTGCTAATAAACAGAGAGGTGTACGGGCAGCCATCCTGACCTACGTGTACAAAGTGCTCAGAAGAGGACGACGTTCAGAAAGTACATACCCATGCGTCTTCCTCTCTTCTGTATCGGGGTTTCTCCTCCGCCAGGAGAATGGAGCAAGAGAGGGGAAAATGAGGCAAGGTCTGGGGAAGGAACTGCCTGACTGGAAACACATGAGTTGCTAGAACTGCAAGAAACATCTGCTTCTAGCCCAGTATCAGCCTCCATCGCTGTGCTACTTGGCCAACCCAGTGCAGCGCTGTGATTTTTCACACTTCTCCATGAACCAAATGACCAATCTGCTGAGCAGCTGCACTCAGCGTGGGGAGTAACTTCCATCCCAGGAAGGTCCAAATTCTGTGGATGCAGCCGGTTGTGCAGAAAGATGGGGAGGAGAGGGATTTTCATTTGACACCAGAAGACCAACAAAAAAAGGTGACTGCTCTGTTGTGCTCTTCTAGTTCCCATGTGGCCAGATGCTGTATCTGTGTGGCCAGATGCATGAGGGCCTCCTGGGCTTGGCTAGTACAGACGTTCATTAGAGACATTCATGTGCTGAGACTCCAGGAATGGAAAAGAAGTATTTGAGGACAGCAGTCCCTGAGTAGAGGAATGAACCATGCCAGATTGTTAACTACATAAAAATTTGCCTATCTGTCCAAATGAGAGAAACAGCACCTGAATCACACAGCACGAGTCTGGCCCACTAGAAAGCTTTTTTTTTTTTCCCCACCAGTTACTGACAAGAAGCAAATGCTTTTTTTAAATTACTCATAGACCCAAAGTCTGGTGGAAAGAGTTAGTACCAGAACTGGGAGCAGAAGTTAAAAGGAGAAAAATGAGAGAGAGTGATACAGCAGAGGTGCAAGGTTTTGCTTCCCCGCTGTGAGGGCCTTCAAGGATTTGATTCTGCCATCGAGGATGCACAGCACGTTGCTGAGTATCTTGCCACATTGACTGTCATGCCACAGCTCATCAAGGGATGGGAGCTGCATAGTATAAGAGCAGATCAGGGCTCAGTTTTGTAAGGGTTTTTTGTTGTAACATATCTGCTTTGGCGCTTCTGGGAGAAAACTCTAAAAATAGCCTCTTTTTGCAAACATTAGCAAAGAGGGGAGCTTTGTGCAGAAAAGCTGTTGTCTCTTGAAAACTGAGGGCTACCACCTGTTCTCCATGTGTCAGGGCAAGGCAAGTGGATTCCCAACTCGGGCATCTCAGTTAAGATGCCTTCTGGGAGACAGAACAACCCTGGGGTTGCGAGTCATTTCTCTACCCCCACGTCTCTGGCACAGCCTGTCTTATTGCAGAGGGCCTGCCTAGGGGGTTTCAGGACTGGGTATTTAGTTTCTTAGAAATGCAGAAAAATCTAACTCATCCCTTTGTAGTGATGCCCTCCATGCAATACTTGCGGGAGTCCAGGGACACATGCAGAAAATAGCATTACTGCTGGTCAGCGTGTTTCTGCCAGGGTGTTGTTTTTGAAGAGAGTTGGGCTCTTGGTAACCAGAAAGGTTGTTGTTCTCTTGCAGAAAATTTTGCCACAGAGAAAGTTTCTGGAAAAAAAAGCCAGCTATTTTGACTGACAGCGATTTGGTTTGGGTTTGAAGAGCTGACCCAGCCAGGCTGCAGCGGTTGCTGCTCTGTTACCTGTCATCCCCTTCAGGATGGGTCTATCCAGCCCAGCAATATCTCTGACAAGTTGCCTAGAAGGAGGCACATTCTTCCCTCCCCAAGCCCGGGGACTCTGAAGAACCTGGGAGATGTAGCAGAGGAGCAGGAGACATCCTAAACAGGGGTCCTGCACATCACTACAACAACGTGGCCATGTTTAACTTATTTTTTTTTACTAGCAGCGTTTCTCAGGTCCTGGAGTAATGTTATTCAGACTGTCTGCAAAAATCATAATTGTCTGGAGGGAAAAACATTTCTGAAACAGCTTTCATTAGCATATACAGCCCTACTTTGCTCCAGCAATTACCAGGCATGAAAGCAGCAGGCTGCGTATTCTGTCAAAGCTTTAAACTTCTTTCTTCAGTGCCCATCCCTGAAATCAAATGATTCCCTATTTAGGTGTCTCTGGAATGCTTATAAATATCTTATGAGTTCTTTACGCCACAACTAATGGACAGACAACTTGTCAAATGTGGCGGCAGTGAAATATTACGTGAGTTGCTAGCTGAAATACCCTCCTGTTAAGAGTTCATGTGTAAATGCAGTGCCATCTTTTATCCAGAAACATCATTTGTCATATTACACTCCTGCTAGTTTTCCTCCTAACCCCTAGATAGATGGCTTATTTAGAGAAACCCAAGCTATTGATGGCAGCAAATTGAATTATTCATATGTGTCGCATAAAAGAATACATCTGAGCCCTCCCTTAAAACCCATTTTCTTTTTCCCAGCAATGTCTGAAACGGTCTCTAAAAATGAAATAAATAGAGTGTTCTGGGGAGTGAAAGAAGAAAGGCAATGTAGTGCTTTCAAGCTAAACCTTCCTTCTTTTTTTCCCCTACAAATTGCTGGATACTGCTGTGAAACTCATCCATTGGACGTGAGCATGAAAGTGTAGAGACGGAAGGTGGATCCTAAGCCGTGTCCTGTTCTGTCTAACCCCTCTTCTCAACATTCCCAAGCATACGGGGGCATTTGGGCTCTTAGACCCGTCCAAGTTTATGGATTGTGTTAGTTTCTTTTGGGTACTCAGGTGGGATGCCAGTGGAGACGAACTCTGGCAGGACTGCACAAATCTGACTGGCAAAATGGTGGCAGATGCATTTCAATGTAAATAAATGGAAACCAGTACATTTATGGAAAAATAATCAAATTCATTTGAACTCAAGGCTGAGCTTGTAACTGCGAGCTGCAAGTCAGGAAAGAGACCGTGGAGAAATCATTGTCAGTGGTGTGAAGTCCCACAGAACAGTGTGCAGAGCAAACCAATAAGTTAACAAAATGTTGGGTATGTTAAAGAGCAGTGTTGAGAACAAGACAGAGTGCTGGCGGCATTTTGCTGCTGTATTAAAGCTCGATGCAATCCACTTTCTTAAGCGGGGTGGGTGATTGTGGTCCCCACTTCTTAAGGAC